TGTGTGTGTGTGTGTGTGTGTGTAGCCCATAGTGTGGGGCTAGAATCAAGCAAAATGTGTTGATATGACTGAATGTTAGAACAATGGCTACGTGGAAATTTGCATCTAGCCTTCAATTTAAATACATGACCAGCTAATATCAGGTGTGTCTATTCTCAAGATACTTGACCAGAGCTTGATTTTCTGAAAGACTTAGCTGTCACTGCTTGGCAACAGCCACTTTCTAGACACCTTCACCCACAAACATGGCAGTCTTTGCCGTGCTAGCTAAACAAGTTCATTGACGCAGGTGGCGGCCAAACAGTGTTCTGAGTGACTTGCATTTTTGCACCAGTTTTGTATTGCAGATGCCTTGATGGGGCAGAGCAGGATGGTGTGCTTAACTAAGGCATTAGAACAGCCTTATCAAAAAGGGCAGGATGCCAACAGGTTGTGTTTATGATGGTGACAAAAAAGCATGGCAGAACCCATCTTCAGCAAATGCTACACTTGCTCACAGCCAACCACAAGGTCACTTTGATGGGGTTGTTAGCACACAATCAGAAGATACTACACTTGACCTTCGCCAAAGGGTTGAGACTTGGCAACCTCCCTGGAAAAAGGCCTCCCAACATCAAGCAAGAATTGGAACCTGGGCCCCTACGGGGCCCGAAGGTTCCCCTAGGTGTGGCTTTTGTTCTCGTGTGCAAAACGCACCTAAGGCCAGATGCGGATGGACGACAGGCAATCGACAATTGTCATCGTAAAAATTTGTTCGGAATCCGGAAATCGTGATCCCAAACCATCGTAAGCCACCCCAGCTCATAAAAATTGGATGAAACAGTCGCGTATTTCCCCAATCCACCAATGTCCCCCCATATGTAAGTCTTAGCGGAGTGATCTACGCCTGCAGCGGAAGCCAGATTTCGCGAGCTGGGCCATAAAAATTGGGCGGAGAGTTTCAGGTGTTTCGTTTGCATTCATGTATGCACTCACTCTGCTGCCCAGATTGATCTACACGCGATCTGGAGCGCGTTTGGAGCAAATTATGCGGAACTGGTGTCAGGAGCCTTGGGTACCGTTTTGCTCAGCGCGAAATGCTGAACAAGAATATAGAAATTTTATGATTTACCGTGAGCATTGGGTGCTCCAAAAAAATAGTGATCTACCCAAGCAGTGATGGCCCAAGTTCCCCGCGTAGCGCCTGAGCGAAGCATGTATTTGATTTACAAGGAGTGTGTGTCCTGTCACATGGTGGGAAGAGTTCCTGTCACCTGGTGGGTCCTGTCACCTGGTGGGACCTGTTCCTGTCACCTGGTGGGAAGAGAGAGGCCGATTTGGACTCCTTGGTTTCTGCCTCCATTAGGTTCTGGGAATAATTTTTTTACAGTTTCTCACGGCAGCAAGTGTCTCGCCTTTCCGGGAGATGCCTGAGGGATGGATCAATGGTTCGGGAAGATGTGTGTGTGTGTGTGTGTGTGTGTGTGTGTGTGTGTGTGTGTGTGTGGGGGGGGGGGGGGGTAAATGCGCAATAAATTTAAAAACAATTATACCTCAACATGATTAAAAGAAGGATTCTTCTGCACCATCCGAGAATCGAACTCGGGTCTCGTCCGTGGCAAGGACGTATTCTACCACTAGACCAATGGTGCGTGCGACGTTTTAAATACAATGGAAAAGTTTTGCCTATATTTCTTACCAATGTTGCTTCCTTGCCAGTCCAGCTGGCAACTGCTCTCCCGCGTGTCTTTGACAGCTTGGCCTGGCCTTGTCCTTTTTTCCGTGGGTTCTCAGTAGGGCTGGTCCTTTTCTTAAGTTGTGTTTCAGCGTCTCTTGTTCTCACCCTTTCTTGCGGCTCTTCTTCTGCTGTCAGGTCCCTGCTGGGGGCCGCTCATGTAATAGCAAAAAAAAAAAAGCTTCCATGCACCTGCTTCTGACAGCCTTCTTCTCTTGCTCCCTCCGTACCTTTCTCCTCCTACTTTCTCACAACAAGCCTCCTGCATGCATTCATGCAGTGGGCACCTTTCAGGACCATCCCCACGAGTTCTTTCATGTCTTGGCCACGTGGGGGGCTGTGCATTCTACGCAGTCCCGGCCTTGGGCTCATGTGGGCCACCCTCTGGACAGTTAGTGCTTCCTGGCTGGTGTGGCTCTCTTGTATCCGTGGGGTCATTGCGGGCGTGTGGGGTTCAGTCTAGCTGTTGGTAGCCGCCCATAGCGAGGATTTTGGCCGTGTTAGGCTCCTGCATTGTGATGCTCTGGCTTGCCGTATGTCAGGAGACTGATGCCTTTCGGGTAGCCTTGCTGTCCAGGGTTTTCTGTCTGCCTACCAACAAACCAACTCACCATTAAGGTCAGACTCATTATGAGCTGCAGACTTGCAGTTTGTACCCTCAGCTTTTGCTCCTAGCGAGCTTGAGCCAATTTCTTAGGCTGGGTTTTTTCAGGGGAACCTTTTGTTCTGCTTGCTGCTTCCTTGCTCTTGGCTTTCCTGCATTTGCTATGCCGTGACTCCTTTGAACTGGCTCAGCCACCCTTTTATGCCTTGGTATCAGTAGGGTCTGCCTTTTGCCTTGGTTCAGTTTGTGGGCAGAAGGTTTCTCTTTTCCCAGTCTCGTAATTTTTACTGCCAGGTTCCTGCTGGGAGTCGCTCATGTCAACAAAAAAAAAACATGTGGCTGGAGTGGGGCGCTTTGGGGGGGGGGGGGGGGGGGGGGTATTGGTTAGCCGTGAGTAGCCGCCCGTCAGCAGGGATCTTCGGCCGAGTTAGCCTCTCCTTGCTTCCTTCTGCGTTTGCCTCTCTCAGTTCTGTAGTCGCCTTGCTTCTGTTTCCTTGCTAGTCAGCCTTTGTTTGCCTGCCTGGCTGCTCTCTGCTCGCTTAACTTCAGCTCCCCGCTGTCTCAACTCTGTGTGGGCCTCAACTCTGTGTGGGTCTCTTCTGTCTTTGTTGTCCTCTCTTGCTTCCAGTGGCCTTGCCTCTCTTCTGGGCTTGTGTCCTTCTTGGTCTGCACAGTTTTCCTTCTGCTGCTTGCTTTGGGTGGAGCTTGGAGTGTTGTTTCCTGCTTGAGTTAAGTTTCCTTCCTGCAACTGCTCTCCCGCGTGCCTTTGGCAGCTTGGCCTTGCCTTGTCCTTTCTCCGTGGGTTCTCAGTAGGGCTAGTCCTTTTCTTGAGTTGTGTTTCAGCGTCTCTTGTTCTCGCTCGTTCTTGCGGCTCTTCTTCTGCTGTCAGGTCCCTGCTGGGGGCCGCTCATGTAATAGCAGAAAAAATTTAATCATTGGCCAAGCGGTGAGATGTGCGCTCTTCGTCATCCCTCCAATTCTATGCCAAAAATGGATGAGATACTGCCGGACATGTTTTACCCACTGCTGAGTATGAGGGATTGGTTGTTTGAGGGTAAGGGCTTGTCTGGCATGCTGGGAACACCTGGATGTGGTTCAGGTGGAGCTCTGTGCGCCAAAAAGCATGCATTTCTTTCATTTGGGCACACTAGTGCGTGTTTCGAGGTGGAAGACGTTTCTCTAATGTTTTAATAATTAAGGAGCATAGGTTGTGCCCTATACCTGCACTTCTCGCTCACCCCTGGTAATGGCCATTTTTTTAGTACCCTGCTCAGGCCCAAATTGCAGCAGTGATTGTTTGCGAAGCCTGCTGGTAATATTGCAAGTGACTCTGGGTTGTCGGGAGGGCCCCTGATGCCGGTCGGACTTTCATCGCGCAGACAGGCACGCATAACCAAGGAGGTCTGGCTAAGCCCCGATAGGCCACCTCCGCGCCCGCTGTTTGTCCTGGCCGATGCTCCTGGGGTTGTCATCATCAGCACTGATGCCGCGGGCTGGCATGCTGAGTGCCAGGGAGGAGCTGCTAGGCTGTGCAGAGTCGCTTGAGCTTAAAAACTCCCATTTTTTTGCTTGTGGTACGCATGCGAGGGAGTCAATGCAGTTTTCAATCTGTTCCTATGGGATTTTCGATTTGTAGCATTTACCGACTTTCGATTTGTCTCCGTGCTTTGGTAAATGTGATGCTGTTTAAATCAACACAAATTTAACGTTTGCTGCCTCGCGTATGCGGCTTCTAAGGAAAATTTGAACAAAATAAGGATTGGAAAGCCAGACCTCCACCCAGCACCTTGCTGAAGCAACAAAATTTCTTTAAGACATTGAAAGAAAGCCGATCCCTATCATCATCACTCCTCTCGGCTGCCTTTTGAGTATCCCCCAAAATAGCCCCCCGCCAGCTTGCAGCAGGTGGCCACCTGTACACTCAGGGCCCATCCTGGGGTCTACCTGCAGGCTTAGGGGTGCAGCTGGAGGGTCAGGGCATGTAGGGGGTAAGTTATGCTGGCTGAGCGCACAAACGTTTCCGTATGTGCATGCATACAGGCGCCTTGCGGGCAGCATAGTTCACCGAACGGGACCAGCTCAGCGCTTAAAAACTGCTTTTTTAACTAGCTTTCAGGTGGTGTGCTCAGAACTGGCAGAGGTGGCCTGGCTGACAATAGGCAGGATATCACAGGGATTGGGGGGCTGACGGAGAGTCTCCGCAGTCCCTTATGGGCCACCCCTCTGAACAGTCGGTGTTTCCTGGCTGGTGTGGCTCTCCTAGATCATTGAGGCCTTAGTGGGCATGTGGGGTTCAGTCTAACCATTGGTAGCTGCCCATTATGGGATCCGCCATGTGAGGCTCCTGCACTGTGGTGCTCTGACTTGCCGTATGTTTGGAGACTCATGCCTGCTAGAATGCTGCATTGTCCAGAGGTTTTCTTCTTCCGCCTTCCGACATACTTCTCCTGAGGTGGGCGACGGGCCCAAATTCCTGAACTTTCCCTCCGATATTTCCTAAATCTGACCAGGCCAGCCATTATAATGTAAATAGAAAAAATATAATATAAATCAAAAACATTCACTGAATTAGAGAGGTGCCTGACAAGCCGCGTCTTCTTCCTTTTTTCTCCCTGCCTTCTTTGCACCAGGGAGGTCACATCCAAGATTCTCTTGCGTTATTTCAAATGTCTCATTGAAGTTTTTAAGAGTACGAATAAGTAAGGAAAACAGGGGTTTGGGGGTGGGGGTGGGGTGTGTGGGTGTGTGTGGGGGGGTATTTTCTATTTTCCTATAAAAATTGGGCACCTGAGATCCTCGCTGGGCTGCGTTTGTATTATATTGAGCATTCAATTCAGGCTCTTAATTGTGTCCCTCTAACTTAGAGTCTAAGGTTTCAAGTGAGGTGCAAACGGGGTCAGACGTCCCATCTGCTATGGTGCTTGTGAGGTTACAGAGGCCTTCCTAGTTCGTTTAAATGTTCGGATTAAATTTAAAATTGCCGATGACAGACTTGCGGAAATCCATGTTTAAAGTGCTAAGCGCGCCGGTGCCTTTAGCTTCCAAGCTTCCAAGTTTCCTTGCTTCCCTGCACGGCTTATAAAAAAAAGGTGAAGATTGGTTGACCCCAGATCACTCTCCTGGCCTCAGATCACCCTAAAATGGCCCACAGCTCCACCCTGGGACTATTTCTTGCTCCCAAAACTTCATTTCTATACCTCTTGTATACAATGCTGACATCCTGCAGATTCAAAATAGGAAAGGAGAAGGTCAAAAATTGACCTCTTTGGCACCCTTAGTGCTAGATTTCCTCTGAGGGAAATGGCTAAATTCTGTACCTGACCAACCACCGAGTCTTTTCGCTCCATTTTTTTTGCAATGATATTTTTTGGTTCGAGGACTCCAAATCATTAAAAATTACTCAATTTGGTATAGTGGCTGGTCAGACATGGTGGGTGCTTGCTCAAAAAGTTGGATTCACGTTTTGGCGAATAGCAGAAGTGGCCGTGAGCTGCACCTTTTAAATTCAGGAGCTATGGATGCGTTAAGCACAAAAAGTGCAAAGTTTTGGTTACCTTGCAAAAGAAACATTTCAAAAGGACCCCTGTTTGAAGCCTTCGTCGCCCCCTTCTGGTACTTCTCAAGGTCAGACTCAATCTGAGCTGCAGACAAGATAACTTACAAGATAACTTACATAGATGAGACACGCAATAAAACCAACTTCAGCATCGCTCGTAAAGAGATGCAAAAAACAATCAACACAAGCCCCAAACAAGCACACAAGGAAATCTTCAAAGACAAAAATTCGCAACCAAGAACAGGTCTCCAAGCACTCCGAGATCCAGAGACAGGTAATATTGAAACTGAACCAACCAAGCAGGCAGAAATTGTTGAACACTATTACACACAGGCTATGAAGGCAGTAAATATCAAA